ATGTAGGAAGCTAGATCAGTGAACCACAAGGGCGCACACAGAGGGAGGCTCTACCAATGGCCAACACCAAGGCCTCAGGCCTGTGAGTGAGGCCACCTTACACCCTCCTGCCCAAGCCGACAGATGGCTGCAGACATGAGGGACCCCAGGTAAGATCAACAGAACTGTCCAGCTCAACTCAACTCACTCCAGATTGAGGAAGAACCATGGGTTCTTCTGGCTGTTGAAATGGTCATTGTTTTAAGCCACTAAGTTTTGGGGGAGTTTGTTGTACAGCAATGGTAACTGGTACAACTGCTGAGTCAGAACCACAGTTTTTGATGCCCGTTTTAGCCAAAACTGAATTAAATATAGGAGTTATGATTTTATGTTTCCATAATAATAGTATTCACCACCTTCGCTAATGAAAGAACAAAAGAGTATATGCTCATTGCAATGAATTCAGAAAAAGCATTTTATAACATATTAACACCCCACAACTTTAAACAAAAAATAAAAGGAAACTTACTTAATTGAAAAAATAATATCATCAACACCTTACCAAAATATCAGCTTAATGGTTGATAGTAGCCTTCCATTTAAAATCAAGAATGTAGCAGCTGCCTACCCTCCCATTATCTATTATCGTACTAGAGATCCTAGCCAATGCAATAAGATAAGAAGAAAATAAATGTAAGACTAGAAAGGAAGAAACAAAGTTATTCCAGACAATATGATTAGCTATGTAGAAACCCAACAGAAACAACAAAAATGTGTTAGACACCGGAACAGAATTTAACAGGATATACAGAAAGCATTTATATTTATAGACACCAGCAACAAATAGAAACTTTATAATGTTTGTATATAATATACATGTATATAATGGTACATAATATACAGTATGTATATATATTATATGTGTATAATATACAGTATATAATGGTATATAATATACCATTTACCATAGCAACAGAAAATAATTTATTTCAAAGAACCATAAAACTTTGTGGAGAAAATTATAAAATTTTATTAAAAGACAATAAAGAATACCTATATAAATAGATATCCAATGTCCATTGTTAGAAAGATTTGATATTATAATAAGAAGAACAAAAAAACAATAATAGACAAGACAAAGAAGAAGAGGAAGGGGAAAGAGATGAGCAGGAGGTGGGGAGAGAGGTGGGGGAGGAGAAAGAAGATGGAGAAGAAGGTGGTGGTATAAATATTTCTCTACCAGTTAATACAAAGCTATACTACCCAATACAGGTAATTGACTTAAGTGATGGATAAAAAGACCAATAAAACAAATTAGACAGGGCAGAAAAGGACCCAAAGGTATCCAGAACTTAATATGTGAGAGTGAGCATTACAAATCTATAGGGAAAGAAGAGGACCATTATTCAGTGGATGGTGCTGATTCTGGAAAAAAAAAAAAGTAAATTCTAGGTGGATTATGTGGTAGCTAAGTTTTATAGTTTCTAAAAGAAAATATAAGAGACTATCATTAAGATTTCTGTGGCTAGATGGACTTCTTAAGATACAAAAAGTGGAGGGACACTTGGGTGGCTCAATCGGTTAAGCATCTGCCTTCGGCTCAGGTCATGATTCCAGGGTCCTGGGATCAAGTCCCATGTCGGGCTCCCTGTTCAGCGGGGAGCCTTCTTCTCCCTCTGCCTGCTGCTCCCCCTGCTTGTGCTCTCTCTGTCTCTCTGTCAAATGAATAAATAAAATCTTTAAAAAAAATACAAAAATTGGAAAGAGTAAAGGGAAATTTGTTATGTTTGATTAAATTAAAAATGTTAACTTCCATTTTGCCCATAACTATAGAAAATGAAAAGAAAATCCACATCAGAGAGAAAATATTTGCAAAATATACAATGGGCAAAAGATTAATACCAAGAGTATTTGAAGAATTCCGACATATCAATAAGAAAAAAAAATCCAATATGAGAATTGGCAAAAGCATTTCCCATAAAAGAAAACACAGATGGCAAAGAAACGTGAAAAATGTTCAACATCATAGTAATGATACGAATGCAAATTAAAACAATGAGATACCACTTTCCACCCACCAGGTTGGAAAAAAAATTTTAATTAAATTAATCTAATTAAATAAATTGCCCTCACTAATAATCAGGAAAATTAAAATTAAAACAACGATGAGATAGCATTTTGTATCCTCCCATATTGTCACAGTTTTTAAGTCTACCAATAGAAGAGTCTGGCTTCCATAATAGGGGACTGGCTTGACCAGCCTGTGTCCCACAGAGAGCAATGATAAAATTTGGACAAAATACAAAATGCAATTATTTGGAGGCACTGAACAGTGACCAAATGTGGGCAGAAACTGGAAGTTGACCCTTGAAAGGAGAGGGCTATACAATATGAGATTTGCAGCCTTGCAGCTTTTTGCCCGAGGAAACTCCTCAATCCATGCTTTGTCCATGCAAAACAGGAAGCTGCAGTTTTTACTGGCTTGAGATGTTGTAGGACAGGGCACCTGGGTGGCTCAGATGGTTAAACATCTGCCTTCGGCTCAGGTCATGATCCCAGGGTCCTGGAATCAAGTCCCGCATCAGGGACAATATCTAGAAGCCTAATGTGTATAACTGGAACCTCAGAAGCAGAACAGAGAACACACTTTCATGTGGGTAAATAAGTAACAAATCCCCCCAGGCCCCAAGGGCTCTCCACCTACTGCAACTCCCTGGGATCCATGAACTACTGCAAAAATCAGGTGTAGAATTGTTTTTTTCAGGAGTTAGTAACTGACTGGAAAGGCCCAAAGTCTCTTTTTCTTTGGTCACCAGGACTAGACAGGGTGACCTTGTTGGCTGGCTGGTTGGTTGATCTCAGGATGCAAGATGTTTTTCTTTTTACATAACTCTGGGCTGTGGTGTGATGCTTACCCTAACAGCAAAGGGGCAGGGTCCCAGCAGGCTTGCTTCCATGCAGAAGTGAAGGTGTTTTACCCTCTCCTGTATTGGTGTAAATTTTGGGAGAAAGCTCTTTGAGAATTGTGAAGGACTCCATGCCAAAAGCACTAGAGTGGACGTTCTGAGACCCAGGATTGAGAATCGCTGGGGTTCTGCGAAGCTCCCCTCCCCAGAGGTATTTTCCCAACCTGCAATGCAAGGGTCGGTGCCCATGATTTTGAGCTCCTGCCAGCACTGAGTTTTCTGGGATGCTCTCCACGGTGTGCACCTGCCTGGGGCCCTGTTGGGAAAGGATGGCTTGGTTTCGTTACCAGAAAGCCCCCATCCTCATGAGCACACTTGGACACGAGGTATGAGGAGGCGGGATGACACTGTTGCTGATGGGAAACTCACTGAGTAAAAGGGCCCCCAGGGGCCCTTTTCCTGTTCCAAGCACTAGACGAGCATTAATCCATTTCATCCTCATGGCCCTGTGAGTGCAGACCATTTTATTTTTTATTTTTTTAGAATTTATTTATTTATTTGACAGAGAGAGAGATAGAGCAGGAACACAAGCAGGGTGAGTGGGAGAGGGAGAAGCAGGCTTCCCGCCGAGCAGGGAGCCCAATGCAGGGCTCGATCCCAGGACCCTGGGATCCTGACTTGAGCCGAAGGCAGACACTTAACGACTGCACCACCCAGGCGCCCCAAGTGCAGACCATTTTAAACCCCATTATAAAGCAGAAAAGGAGACTGAGGCACAGTGAGATCCAGTAAATGGCCCAAGCCCTCCACAGTGTCAGCAGCATTGGGTGTGCCTTTCCCTCTTTCCTGCACCTGACTGCAGTCCCTGTTTCAGAGGGAAGCATTGGGTCCCAACATTGCCCCAAGAAGGCAAGAAGCAAAGATGCTGGAGTAACAACCAGCCCCTCCCAAGGTCACAGGGTCAGAACCTCAGCACTAACCTAGGGGCGCTAATCCCAGAAAAGGGAACTCAATCCCCAAATCCATCATTAAAAAGTAAAGAGGTTTTGTAACTAAATTTCCTTGTTGGCCAATCGGTGAGGTTGACTTTGAACCCATGGGAAGAGAACACTGCTGGGTAGGCATGCATGCCGCTGCCCACCCCAGCTGTCGCTCCTGATTTCTGCTCTGTCGCTGAGGGTCTATCGTCGTGATGCAACGTCCTGGGCTACTGAGACACTCTAGGGAGATGCCGTGAGATGCTTCAGAGGGCCCAAAGCGCCGGACGGGGTGGGGGGGGGGGCTACAGGTGGTACCCTGGAGGATGTGGCCCGACAGGCAGGACCAGTGCCTCTGTTTCTCTCCCCAGGTGAGCGTCGGGCCGCTCTGCTGGTCACCCGCGCAGCCGCGGCCTTATTCCTGGACAGTGGGGCCCGGGACCTGCTTCGGGACCTGCATGAGGCCTTTCAACAGAGCCCCTCGAGGGCGCGGAGGCAGTTTGAGGCCGTGCTGTCCGCGGGGGACCGAGAGCGCGTGCGGGCCCAGGCTCAGGAGGCAGCGGACATGGGCTTCGCCCACTTCCAGGAGGCCGTGCGGAGCCGCGCTGAGCTCCGCGAAAACTCGGGCCTGGAGCTGCTGGCCCCGGTGACCCGCGCGCTCCGTGTCCTGCTGCGCGTTGCGCCGCCCGGGGTGCGCCCGGCACTGGGCACTCGCTTGGCCGAGTGCCTGCTGCTGGCGGGGGACGCGGCGGGCGCCAGGGCGCTGTGCGAGCGCTTGCTGCGGCCTGCGCGCCCCGGGGACCGTGCGGACTACCGCATCAGGGCCCACACCGGCGACCGCGCGCCCCTGTTGGTGCTGCGCGGCTTCTGCGCGCTGCACGCCGGCGATGCACCGCGCGCCCGGGAGGACTTCCAGGAGGTGGTGGAGCACGTGCCGCCGCACCTGGGCAGCTGCGTGCGTGCGCTGTGTGGCCGAGGGCTGTTGAGGGTGCTGGAGGGTAGCGCGTTCCTGGGTGCGCTGGACTATGTCACCGCCTGCCGCCTGCACCCCGAGGAGGCACTGCTCGTCGCCAAGGCCTACATCCCCTGGAACCAGAGGGGCCTCCTGCTGACCGTGCTGCGAGAGGAGGGCCGCAGGATGCTGCAGCGGAGGCCAGACCTGGGGCTCACGGGCGCACGGGGCCGCCGGAGTAAGGCTGCGGAGATGGACAGCCCCGAGGCGCAGGAAGGGTAAAAACTAGCCCCGCGCACCCCTGGGGCTACTGCTTCATTCCGGTTTCCTGCGAGGTAGCTGGGGGTGTGTGTCTTCCTTCTTTACAGATGAGTAAACTGAGGCAAGAAGCAGGTGGGGGATTTATCTAAATCATGGATGGCAGTTTTAGCGCTGAAGCCCAGATCTGAGGACTCCCAGTCACAAACAGTGTGATGCTCTGTGGGCCTAACTACCATAGAAAATTAAGAACTCAAAAATGGGAATGAAAAAATACAACTTTCCCGTCACCCCACCCATAGCACTCCCTTCTAGTTGTTTCTCTCTGAGCATAGAAACTGAACTGCGTGTGAACTCTATGTGCAATTTATAGCCCCCCTTTTTTACTCAGTAGATCACGGACATTTCCTTTGCCTCTGGATTCCTTCTCGGGCACCCCAATCTATAGCCCGCCCTGTGAGCGTGCCATCCTTCCTTGACCATTCCTAGAGCTTGCCCTCTGTTAGAGCTAATGTTCTGTCCTGAGTATGGACACAGAGGTGGGGTTTCGGGGTCAGGGAGCGCAGGCTGCTGTGAGGTCCTTGACTTCCGGAGCTGCCGGTCTGCCCGTCTAGCCACGCGCCCAGCCCTGATGTTCGTTTTCGAATTTTTCTGCCAACCTAATGGATGACCCTGCAGCTGTTTTGATTTGCACTTCTCTGGCTGCTGAGAGGTGACAGGGAGGTGTTTTAGCAAAGCTCAAAGCACTGAGCTGGGGGCCTCCTGGGGGGCATGTTTGATGTCAGGTCTGCTGCCACCACCCACCCTGCACACACACACACACACACACACACACATACACACACTTTCTCTGCCTGCAGGGTGCTCAGTTCAAATTGCTTTGATGTGCTGGTGAGGAGGAATTTCATGAACAAGATTGGGTGCCCTTTATACTTTTTTGTCCTGGGAATTGTCATAATTGGAGGCTCCAGCCCTTCTCCCAGTGGGAGCTCATTCACATTCCCAGCACACCAGGAGCATTCCAAGTCGAGCCTGTGTGTTCTCTAATGCTGCCTCGAACACACGCCTGAGCCCTGCAAGGCCAACGCTGTTACCCCATTTCTACAGAAAAGGAAACTAAGGCAGGGTTGGCTTGTGGTCAGCCCACAGATGGAAGCTGTCTTCCATCTGCAAAATGCTTGCCACACAGGGTGGTGGGAGGATGGGGCAGAGAGTGAGAACCGAGGGATGTATGTCAGAGAGGGCAGCTGTGGCTTCCGGAGACCGCATGTGTGAGGGTCCTTCCAGTAGGACCCGGGGCTCTGTGGCTGGGTGGGAAGGGAGCTGTCTGGACCAGGTGCGCAGGGTAGAATTTGCCTGTGGCCCGCCTTCCTGGGCAGCTGACAGGGGTGTAGACAGAAGCTTGGCTGGCTCTCCCCCAGCTACTCTCTCCACAGGGATGCCCATGGCGTGTACCAGCTGGCCACACTTCTGGTGGAGCTGGACAGTGAAGATGAGGCTTCAAGCCTCCTGGGGGCTGATGCCCTGTACCGCCTGGGCCGTCTGGAGGATGCCCACAAGGCCCTGCTGCTGGCCCTCTCCCGGAGGCCCCAGGCGGCCCCTGTACTCGCGCGACTGGCCCTGCTGCAGCTGCGGAGGGGCTTCTTCTACGATGCAAACCAGGTGAGGAGGCCCCGGGGGGCCACAGCAGGGCAGGTGGAGATGGGCCACAGCCCTGTGGAGGGCACGGGCCTCTGGGCCCCTCACTCTGCACCCCTCAGCCTGGACTTTGGAGCAGGTAAAACGTGTCTCAGCCCTGGACTCTGCCACCTCCAGCAAGGCCCCCTCACCGCCCTGACCCTCAGTGTCTTCGTCTGTGCTCTGGTCTTGTGGGTTGTCCCGAAATAGCTGGAGCAAGTACCCCAGGGCCCAGCAGGTCTCCAGCATGCAGTAGGTGCTTCATATTTGGTTTTGTTGTGTTATGAAGGAAAAGGGCCAAAAGTCAGGTGTAGACTGAGCTCCGACCCAAACCTCCCAAGTAAACTAGGCTTGGAGGTGACCCTGCCTAGGGAGGGGAATGGCAGAGAGGCCTCCAGGTCCTCAGTTCCTGCTCACCTCACCTCTCTCCAAGACCACCCTGCTCCCAGGAAAAGCAGAGCTTCGCCTCCCTCGGGTGTTACGAGGGCTTCGCGTTGGAACCGGGGTCAGAAGGTTATGTTCCGAGGGCTTCGCGTTGGAACCGGGGTCAGAAGGTTATGTTCCAGGGGGAAGATGTCGGGCTTTGAGGCCTGTCAGCTTCTTCTGTTCTGGCCGGATTTGGGTTCCTGGTCCCCCTGCACTGGGCCACACAGGCGGGAGAGGGAAGGATGCCCCGGAACCGGCCCATCCTTCTGCTCTGGGACCTGTGTCTTCAGCGAGCGGCCAGCAGGGGCAGCATCGGGTCTCTGTGGGACGGAGCCGCTCATTATGTCCACCCGGAGTCTCGCTCCACCCAGAGCGGGCACTGGTCCCAGCGCATTTGCTCCTCGCCCGGTGCCCTCGGTCACCTTATGATTTGAAAGCCCCCTTTCCCCGCGTTTCTCATTTGGACCTGCAGTGTGTGGGCCGGTGAAGCGAGATCTCCACCTCCATGCCACGGAGGAGGTCCTCCGGCTCGGGCACACTGGGAGCCCCCCGACCCCACCGCCCGCCGCGCAGCCCAGAGGAGCAGCCCGGCGCAGGCTCACACCTCCGGCCCTCCGCCTTCCCTGGGCTTAGCGCCGGGGACGCGCAGTCCCTGCCCCTGAGCCATTCCCCGCGGGCCACACCCCTGTACGCCCCGCCCCGGGCCCCGCCCCCGGACGCTCCGGCTCTCGGGCCACGCCCCGCGCTCCACGCCCCCGCAAGGGGGGCTGAGGGTGGGGTGGTGTGGGCGTCAGGCACAGGTAGGACCCCGGTGACTGCCCTGCCCCTGCAGCTGGTGAAGAAGGTGGTCCAGGCCGGGGACACGGCATGCCTCCAGCCCACCCTGGACGTCGTCCGCCACGAGGACCGGCAGCTGCTGCGGGGCCACTGCCACGCTCGGGCCCTGGCCATCCTGCGGGCGCGGCCCAGCGGGGCCGAGGGCACAGCCCGCACCAGGGAGGCCATCGCCTACCTCTCTCTGGCCATCTTCGCTGCAGGTAGCCGCTGACCGCCCGCCCCCGGGGTTCCCACACTGTGCCAGGTACCTAGGGGCAAGAGGAGCAATGCGGGGGTCAGAGACTGGGCAGATCCAAGCCCGCTCTTGGTTCACGGGTGTGTGCGTGCGCTGGGGCCACTCGCGGAGCACGCCTTGCCCCGAGGCCCTAGCTGTCCAGGTGAGCACGCTAAAGCGTGGGAGAGGGGCCAGACTAGCTGGGACCTGAGCCGGGATCCTCCTGGCACCCTGGGCCCTGTGCGTAGGAGGGCCACCCTTGACTAAGGCCATTCTCCCAGCTTGGCCCCTCTCCAACAAGGAGAGGCCCTTCCTGGAAATAGTGGGGTGTCTCTGTATGAGTGTAGGTGCTGTCCCCATTTGCCCAGCCAACCCACCCAGCACCATCCTGGGTGACAGAGTCTCTTGCAGTTGGGCCTTCTTAGCACAGGGTCATAGGGCACCCAATCTGGAGGGAAGGGACTTTCCCAAGGATGCACCCCGATTTCCTGGGGTGCATGGAGATTCAAAGTGTGGACTTCAGATTAGAACACCAGGTGGACTCCTGGCTCTGCACTTACTAAACATCTCACTTACCTCTTCTCGAAGTGGGTGACAGAGACTCTGGTGAGGGCTGGGAGTGAGGATCACGTGAGCGAGGTCGTGGACAGCGCAGGGCTGGTGCCTGGTGCAGCAGAGTTCATGCCCTGCACACATTAGTGAGGAAGGGGACACGATCCACAGCATGCGTTGTTCTGTCCGTCACGGGACAGACTCATGGAGGGAGCGTGGTGGCGCTGTCCTTGGGGAGGGGCTTCGGTGCCCAGCATTCAGAGGGCTCCTCCCTGCCCACCTGGCACCTTCCCACCTTTGACTGTTCCATGTCCAGCCCCAAGGACCCGTCCGCCTCCTGGGCCCTCACCTGGCCTCACCTCAGATGCAGCTGCAGCGGCACCTCCTCTCGGGACCCCTGTCTGACTCTCCACCAGCCTAGATGCCACCCTCGTGGTTGGGCTCCCTGTTTCCCACAGCCAGTGCCCCCAGATCAACCCCATCGGCCCTCCAAGACCGTGTCTTGGTGCCCAGTGGTCTGTGAGCTCCCCAAGGTGGCCTCGAAGCTGGTGCCCCCTGCCCCACCCCACTGTTGGGTACCAGCAAATGCTGGTTGAGGGCAGACGCACTGTACCCACCAAGGCCCAGCAGCGGTCATGTCTCAATGCCATACACCCCCTTCCTCCAGGGAGTCAGGCAGTTGAGTCCCTGCTCATCCGAGCCCGCTGTTACGGGCTCCTGGGCCAGAAGAAGACGGCCATGTTTGACTTCAACTCAGTGCTGCGGGCTGAGCCGAAGAACGTGCAGGCGCTGTGCGGTCGGGCACTTCTGCACTTGGCCCTGGGCCAGCAGAAGGTACTGGGCCCCACCCTCCCCACCCGGGATGGGCACGTGGGGTTAAGGGAAGAGTGCTTTAGGGGCGGGGCACCTAGGAAAAACCAGCACAGTCTTCCTTCTTAGCCCAAGCCCAGAGGGAGCAGGGCCAGGCCATCTTGAGTGTGAGACGCCCATTAAAACCCTTCCTGCTTGGGGCTCACATCATCATCACACCTTCCATGGGAAGAGGCCCACTGCCTCCCAGCCTCAGCATGGACTGTGCAAACCATGGGAGCTACTAGACACCCCCCTCCCCCCACTTAAAATAACAAGACCTCAGCTGCTTCTTGGGTACCACACCCTGAGCTCTCTGCACAGAGCCTGTGGATTCAAGCAGTCAGCTTGCAGAGACAGGGGTGGGAGGGGACCCACACTGTCGGGCCCCAGGCAGGTGCTTTTCCCAGAGAAAACCTGCCCGCAGCTGCACACCCCTGGACAGGGGCACTTCTCAGCCGAGAGCAAGGTCACAGGTGAGTGGCTGAAACTGAGTGTCTGCCCTGAGGCTCTGCAGCCCAGAGGTGACCTGCCTGCCAGGCTTCCTAATTAAGGTCTGGAGTGCTAAGAAGCAAGTAGAAATGATCCCAGATGCCACTGAGGTGGGAGCCCCTACAGGTGGGCTGGCGTCTGCCCCTCAGGATGTCTGACACCCCCCCGCCCGTGGGCGCTGGCAGCCTGATTTTTCTGTTCCAGCCTGTCGTGGGCTCTCAGTGTGTGCCCTCCTCGGGTCCGGCCATCCCTCCCTTCGCACAGCTCCAGTACACTGACTCACCATGCTCAGTCTCCTGTAGCTCAGCAGATGGGCCCTCCTGCTGCGGAGGGCAGGAACTGGGCTGTCTGCCCCTTCTGGTATCCCCAACACCCAGGCAGGTGCCCAGCAGGGACGATTCTGCCGCCCACCCCGCCCTCCTCCCCCTTGCAGGAGGCTGTGGATGACATCCTCTTGGCTCTGAAGCTCGACCCCAGGACAGTGGTCCCTGAGATTTGCTCTCTGAAGCCAGAGGCTCAGGCCCTCATCACCCAGGGCCTCTGGTCCCGCTGCCGGGCCCTCCTGAGCCAGCCGCGGGACACTGGGGCCCCCCTCAGCGATGAGGACGCCCGGGGCCTCCTAGCTGTGGGGGAAGCGCTGATCAAAATCGATGCGAGGCAGCCAAGCGGACACATCCTGCTGGCAGACGCACTCACTGCAATGGGTATGCCCGGCCCGGGTTTGGGGAACGTGGGTGTCTGTCCTAGCCCTTCTCACCCTTGATTCTATTCTGTAAAATGGGAGAGAGAGACCCTGGATTTAGTGCCTCCTGGGGTCCCTTTCCACCCCAAATCCTGATCCCTGTGACCTGGTCCCTGTGTGGGGCCTGGGGTGCAAGTGTCTTGAGCTCTCGTTCACCTGTGTGGTTTTGCCTTCAGGGAGGAGAAACAAAGGGGCAATTTGGGGTTTCATAAAAGGACCCAGATGATTGGGGCTTCTCATTAGCTCATGCATTTATTCAACAGATGTTTACAGAGTACCTATGGAACCCAAGGCCGTATTGTAGGTGGGCTTGTGTCAAGCCCCCATGTGCCCAAATCCCAAGAATATTACAGTCCTAATGTGAAAGGAGAGAGCTCTGTGCAGCCTGCATTTCCCTGACCTGTCACTGTCACCTCCAATCCTGTGGAGTGCCCCCAGCCAGGCCTACACTGCCCTGCCGCCCAGTATATAGTCCCACAGGTGCTCAGGAGAGCCCCCTTGTGGTGACCACAGTGAGCATGCTCAGAGACCCCCCGCCCGGCTCAACCTGGGGGTCTTGCACCCTAGTGACCCCCCCCATGACAAGCTCAACAGGCAAGCTGGGGCTGGCGTGGTGTCACTGTGTCCCCCTGCTCCCGGGGCTGAGCCCCTCCACCAGCTGGCCCCTCCCTGAACCAACACTGAGCAAGAGAGGCTCTGGCCAGCTTCCCACCTTTCTTGCCCCCTGCCCCAGCACCCCCCTGACTGTCCTTCCTGCATCACTGACAGGCAGCTATGAGGAAGCTGGTGCCTGCGTGCAAAGAGCCCTGCAGCCCACCCCATGGTCAGAGGCAGCCCGCGCCCGGCGAGGCCTGCTCCGGCTCAAGAAGGGAGACGTACCTGCTGCTGTGCGGGACCTGCAGTGCCTGGCCGAGACGGAGGCCCAGGAACTCGGCTTCCTGCTGCAGCGCCTGGAGACCTCAGAGCGGCAGAGCCTCAGCCAGGTGTGCTCCGCGGAGCCATCCCCCCGCGCCTCCCCAGCACCGTGGACCCCACTGTGCTCAGGGCTGCTGTGCCCTCCCTGCTCCCCTGGTTTCAGTTGGGGGCCAGGGGGGAGACAAGCCAGTCTGGCCATCTTAAACCCCAGCAACCTCCCGGCTTCTCCGCATAAGGCATCTAGGCCACGAGGGACAGGGCCTGGGAGAGAACACAGACCCCTCCTCGGAGCTGGCTGAGCCAGCCAGGAGCACCTGGCCCTTGCAGGAAGCCCACACCCAGCCCCTGGTCGGGTGAGAGCAGGGCAGGAAGGCAGCGGGCCGCGGGGGGCATTGGGCTAGGTCCACTACGTCTGGCTGGCTGACTTTTGTTCCACTGTCTATTCAACAAGAATATACTGAGCACCTTCCGCCAGCCGCCGGTGGAGCCGCTGCCCCGCCCTGTGGGCCTCCCATCTCAGGGGAGACAGGGTGCGGGTGCCCTCCTGAGTGTGCTGGTATTGAGAAACCCTAAAACAGGCCAGTGGGGGAACGAGGTGGCACTGGAGGCGAAGCCATGATGGGACAGATAGGCCAAGGTGAGGGCCAGAAACGGGCAGAACGTCAGTGCAGCTGCCGTGGATGGAGGAGGGGGCGGGATGGGGGGAGAGGTTTCTGGGCCCGGTCTGACAGACGAAGGGGGCTGTGCCATCCACCAGCTGGAGGCAGGAGCCCCAGCAGGCCGGGAGGAGAGGGAAGGTGGGGGACAGCGCCAAGAGAAATCCCCTGAAGTGGCTGCATTTCACCTGTGTGTGGGGGGAGGGGAGGGACCAGCAGGAAGAGGAAGCCCCCAGCACAAGCCTTGGCGTCTGAGTGACTCAGAATCAAACTGCGAGTGGCCTGGGGCAAGTACCTCACCTCCTCACACTAGCGTGTACCCAGGACTCTAGGGGGTTCTCTGGGGACCCAGGAAGTACAGAAACCACACTGGTGTTTCAACCAGGGGGTTTAACAGAGCAGGTGGCTGCACAGGCCTTAGGGGCGGGAAGAGCCGAGAGAGCCCTATTGGATAATGCAGGGTGACAACTGCCCCAAGGGGAATGGGCATCAGGACCTGGACCTCAGAGCAGAGCCCCGAGGAGCGGTCTCGCTGGGGTCTCAGCACGACTGCCCCGGTTCATAGGACGGAGCTAGGTGGAGTCTCTGAGCCTTTATGAGGGTGCCGGGCGGGGGGTCCCCGAGCGGAGAGGAGGGGGCCGGGCGGGGGTCTCCGAGACAGGAGGAGGGGTACCGGGCGGGGGTCTCCGAGCGGAGAGGAGGGGGCCGGGCGGGGGTCTCCGAGACAGGAGGAAGGGTGCCCGGCGGGGGTCTCCGAGCGGAGAAGAGGATGCCGGGCGGGGGTCTCCGAGCGGAGAGGAGGGTGCCGGGCGGGGGTCTCCGAGCGGAGAGGAGGGAAGGGTGCCCGGCGGGGGTCTCCGAGCGGAGAAGAGGATGCCGGGCGGGGGTCTCCGAGCGGAGAGGAGGGTGCCGGGCGGGGGTCTCCGAGCGGAGAGGAGGGGGCCGGGCGGGGGTCTCCGAGCGGAGAGGAGGGGGCCGGGCGGGGGTCTCCGAGCGGAGAGGAGGGGGCCGGGCGGGGGTCTCCGAGCGGAGAGGAGGGGGCCGGGCCGGAACACGGGGTTAGGAGGAGAGGCGGGCAGTGTGGTTCCTGCGGCCGTTGAGAACCCGGGGGGCCATTGCCCGGCGACGCGGGCCGACCGGGAAGTCAACGAGAGGTCGCGCCCCGTTTCCGGCGCGCGCCCCGCCCCCCGGCGGCGCTACCCCCGCTTCGCAGCGGCTCCCGGCTCGCGATGGGGACCCGTGCTTTGAGGTCCGAGGGGCGCAGAGTCCGCTCCCGCTCGGCGTCACTCGGCCGGGCCCAGGCTGCCTCCCGGCGCGCCGCCTGCGTCCCAGCCCGACGGCGTCCCTGCCGGCCCCGGAAGCTCGGTGCTCGTCCCGGGGCCAGGGCACGAGTGCGACCCGCCGCCGGGCAGCGGGAGAGGGACAGCGGGGAAGCCGGCCCCGGGGATGCTTTGTTCTCCAGTGGGGAGCCACGTGGGTTCTTGAGAAGAGAAGGAGCCGTAGGAAACCCGCGAGTTTATCCGAAGGGTGGTTGGGGAGAGCGGTAAGGAATTTGGGCAAGTTTTGAGCGTGGGCTTCAGCCACACTCTGAAAAAGAAAGTGAGCCTGGGGGCAGAAGGGGGTCCAGCAGTCCCCAAGGAGGCAAGGACTAGGTTGGACGGTTCCCGCTGACCTCTGGCTCCGCCCTGCAGCATCCTTGGAGGCTGGGAGTGGGGGGCGCCCACCACAGCCCTCAAAACACCAGGCTGCCAGTCCCGGGGGCGGGGGCGGTCAGGCACGACGAACCCCAACACCTGGAAATCTTCCTAGCAGATGCTGGAGCAGGTGGTCCATCAGCAGCACAGTCTCTTCCCCTTGACTCTAGCTCTGCAGGGTCTGCTGGACCCTATAGTGAGAAACCCACCAATGCTCAGCAGGCCCTGCCCTCCTGACCTCAGGCAGAGGAGGGGGCTCAAGGACCAAGCTGGGCAGTGGCGGTGCTTGCTACTGCCCTCAGGGCCAGGGCAGCCTTGGGAGGGTGGGCAGCTGCCCATCCGTGGGCCTGTTGGGAAGGCGACTGCAGAGAGGGGCTGAGACAGGAATGAGGGAGGAGGTCACCAGATGATAGAAGCAATAGGGCTGGGGGGGGGGGCCAGTGAGGAGGAGAGGGAATCCAGGAGGACCCCATCTGAGCTGGGCTTCCAGGGTGGTGGGGTTGCGGGGCGTGCCCTCTACCCTGCACTTCCACTCCCTGCAGAGGAAGTGGGCAGCCACTCTGGTCAGGGGAGGGGCCTGTGGCTCTCTGGGCTGACCCACACTGCCTCCCTCCGTCCCCTCTGTGCAGGCTGCGGCCAAGGAAGCCAACACCCTCCTGAACTCAGGGCAGCCCAGGCAAGCGCTGGGCTACTGCTCACTGGCGGTCCTCGCTGGGAGCAGCAATGCCCGTCACCTGCGCCTGAGAGCCACCTGTCTGGCCGAGCTGCAGGAGTTTGACCGGGCACTGGAGGACCTGGACCATGTCCTCCGGGTGGATGGGGGAGACCACGACCTCCTGACGCGGGTGGAGGACCTGTGCTCCCAGGGCCGCCTGCTGCTGAGCCTGGGCAATGGGGCCAGGGCCACAGGGGCCTTTGCCCAGGCCCTCAAGCTGGCACCCACCCTAGCCCAGAGCAGCCTGTGGGAGCGGCCGGGCCGGGGCCCCACTGCTCAGGCGTTCTTGTGCCATGGCCAGACCTGCCTGGGGGAGCAGCGCTATGCAGAGGCCTGGATGGCAGTGGAGAGTGGCCTGCTGGCAGACCCTGAGCACAGCGGCCTGAAGAGGCTGAAGGCGAAACTCCAGAAGGAGGCATCCTTGGGCTGCAGGCTTCACTGACTCTATGCTCTGGAGCCCCAGACAGGCGCCACCCGGCCATTCCGCCCCGGATGGGCTCCTAAGCAGCAGGATACGGGGCGCCTAACTGATGTAGATCAGACTCAGCTGAGAAGAGAGACTCTGCAGACTCACCACATTTTAGGTTACCGAGAAGGTGTTTGTGACAGCATATAGATAGTATTACCTCATCTCAAGAAAACAAAGCTATAAACTTTTTGGAGTTTCCTGCATGTGAAACAGCTCTTGGGTCCAAGAGGAGATCACATCTGAAATCAAAGAAAAGTGAAAAACTAATCATAACAAAACCCGTAGAGAGAAGCACCTTCATGATGTAGCCCCAGCGGGACCCCAGGGAAGGTCCGGTCCCAAGCAGATTACTAAGCAATGGAAAGAAAATGAAGTACGTGTTCAGTTCAAGAATTTAGAAAAAGACAATAAAACTAAGGAAATCAGGAGATAGGAATCAAGGATAAAAGCAGAAATTAGTAAGTTAGAAACAAAAGAAGAATAAATAAATACAAAATCTGGTTCTTCAAAAATAAGGTTGATGAGGGGCGCCTGGGTGGCTCGGTTGGTTAAGCGACTGCCTTCGGCTCAGGTCATGATCCTGGAGTCCCGGGATCGAGTCCCACATCAGGCTCCCTGCTCAGCAGGGAGTCTGCTTCTCCCTCTGACCTCCCCCCCTCTCATGTGCTTTCTCTCTCTCATTCTCTCTCTCTCTCAAATAAATAAAATCTTTAAAAAATAAATAAATAAAGTTGATGAACCAACAGCTAATTCTCTGAATTGAGAAAATGGAGAAAGCACAATGGCCTTCATCTAGGTGCACTGCTGTAGTGAGCCCCATGCATCTCCTGACGAGCAGACGGTGTGGTTGTGCAGGCTCTCAGGACAGCCGGAGGCACTTTGAAAAAAAGGTCTACACCCGCAGGTCTGGAAGGTACCCAGTGGGCTCAGGGCTGCACAGCTCGGTTGCAGAGACCGCGGACCGGCCTTTAGTACGCCTCAGGGTGGGATCTCGGGGGTTTTGTGGGGTCACTCGTTATTGGCTAGTTTGAAGCAGAAAAGTGGGAATGGGGTGTCGGGAGACTGCAGGCAGGGTCACAGAAGCAGTTACCAAGGTAGCTGAGAGCTTTCTGAGATGGGGACCTCACAGGTGTGAGAGGCCCACTTCCTTCTCTGGTCATTTTGCCTAACAGCTGTGTCCTGCGGCTGGCGACACACGTGTTCCAGATGGATGTCTTTGGAAATGGACACCCTGGCGATCAAAAGCTTGACGTCAGGCACACCACAGAGACAGTTTTAAAGTGACAAAGTAACAGATACAGAGAAAATTAAAAGCATCATAAGAAATTATGTTCCTCTGGGCAAATAAATTTGGAGGCCTGGATGAAATGAATTAGCTCCTAGGCAAATATTTAAACTGACCAGAATAGGCCTAAAACTTCTGCAGGACAGTTGCCAAGGAGGAAAAGAGAAGGTTGTTGGAGCCTCCCCTAAAGCAGGCTCAGTTCCAGATGGAAAAACCTGTCAACCTTTAAGGGACAGTCAATTCCAAATGTCTCTAAACACTTCCAGGCCAAGAAAAAGAAGCTTCCAAGTTCTTTGTGGAAGAAAGCATAATCTCAACTAAAAGAAAGCTACAAACCAATTTATGAATTACTAGTCCAGAAATCCTAATACCAACAACCCCAAATCCAGCAGCATGTTAAAAGAATAATACACCCAGAGCAATACATACAGGAATGCAAGGATGGTTCAAGATTAGGACACACGTTCATACAGTTCATCACAGAACTAGAGCCTAGAGAAGATAAGTCCTGTGATCCCTCGTGGGGGCTGCAGTGGGGGTGCACGGTCACATGTAAGAAGACCTCCCTACACCTTTGGATGCCTTCTCTGTTATACTAGGGAGGATCTGGCATCTCAAGTTCATTAACTGTAGGCCACCAGTGCGGAGTGCACACAACCATGTGACCTGGTAGCACCACTTCTAGCAGCTGGTGTGCACACACATGTTACCTCCAGCATCTGTGCTGAGCACACCCCAGCAATAGGGCTGGGCTGGCCGTGGCCTGACCCCCTCAGACTCCATTCCCACACAGAATTCCCAGGGTCCCCAGTGTGAATTAGTGAAATCTTGCAGTTATTGGGGTGCATATGCTAGTTCCTCCAGGATCAGGCTTTGTACCTGAGGCTCCCCCAAAGATGCTGAGATTAGACCCCTTTTTATGGGTCTAGAGTCAATGGGTGAAGGAAGGGGGTTGTGGAGGTTGAACAGAATGAACATCCTCCTTTCTAAGCACCCTGACCCACATGAGGCTCTCAGGATTAGGATTTATAAAGAAAAAAGGCAAGTCTCCAACCCTGGAGGACAAGCTGCATCCACTGCAAAGGGGCTCAGAGGACTTGGGGATTCAAGGTCCTCAGCTTCCTCTGAGACCCTTCCTAGTTCCAGGGTCTCATTCCTCAATCAGTGCCCCAGCTTTTCATAAGAAAGTTGACGAGGCTATAAATGAAACCAACATTGTAATTGCACGGCTCACAGAATTAAATGTTGTGTTTGACTCTTAGCACTACCAGCCCTGTGCATGTCACAGGGGCTTCTCAGGGGCCACGGAGCCCTCTGACTCCCGGGCTGTGACCCGAGCTGGTCATTCTCTTCTTGTATGTGCTTCCAGGACATTCGGGAGAGCCCGCCCCATGCCACAGTCCCTGCGGCCACTGTCACTGTGTGAACAGCCATGTGCAGTGGCACCTGAGCTCCCACTGCCCCTGATTGAGTGGGTACATCACAGCCACCATGAGGAAATCACCCCACACCACAATTCTCCCTTCCCAAGGAGGACAGCCCTGCAGTCAGGCCCCAGTTCCATCTTTGAGTGTCTGGCGACAGGGAACACTCTTGGTACCAATTTATGTATCAGTCAGAGTCCACTTTGGAGACAGAAACCCCACCAGTGATTCAGATAGCAGGGATTTAATAGAATTGCTCATTAGCTGTGAAGGCGTCAGTTATGGACGTGGAGTAGAAGGAACTCCAGGGACCATGGAAGTAGTAGCAACCACAGAGTTCAAAGTCGGATGACCCAGCCTGCCCAAACAAGCTGCGAGCCATCACCCCCACCCCTCAGCTTGGTGACCAAGCTCCCCTGCATGTGCCCCTTGCCCCATGTGGTACTTCCTGACCATACCTCCAGTGCCTGGCACTGTGCCTCCATTCTCTCATCCGACTGCAGTGAATCTTATAGGTGAGGGGACTGGGGTTGGCTTGGGGGCTCAGGGACAGAGACCAGGGACAGTCAGAGCACCCCAGCCCCTTCCCTCCTGTCCAGGATACCCAAGGCCTGACATCAGGAAGCAGCTGTCGGGAAGGTGTGTGGAGGGGGGACTCCCACAGGCCAGACTCACCCCAGCTCTCTCTGAGTGCTTTGGAAATGTCCTTCAACTTCCTCCATTCTTTGCCTCCAAGCAGGGTGCTCACAGCACGGGTGGGCAGACCCAAGGAGAGATCTGAATCCTGCCCTACAGAGGCCCAGAGACACCTGCCAGATGGGGCTGAGCTTCGTGCAGAGGACAGCAGCTGGCCCCCAGACCATCCCACCTGAGAGTCGGGGGCTGGAAAGGGGTGGGCCCAGCAGTCAAGGGCAGGTATCTGCTGAGCCTGAGAATAGCCCCCTGCTCTATAGCAGCAGTGACCAAGGCTAACTTCTAGACCTGCCCTGGTCCCAAGGTCGATAAGAGAGGTGGTACCCACCCCTCCGCCCATGCTGGGCTGGGCCTTCAACTTCCACATCTCACATCTTTTGCCCAAGAGACAGGGAGGGGTGAGCAGGGAGCCTCCACTGGCCCCTGAGCTCACCTAGGAGAAGGGATTAAAATCCACCCTCCAGAGTATCCCAGGCAGCAATGGGGCCTGGGACTCACTGCATCCAGAGACCTCACTGGGGCTGGGCGTCTGTAGCTCCTTGGCCTGTGGAACCCCTTTCCTGGTTTCTCTTGGCTGCCAGGTACCTGGGCACGGCCTTGCTTGGTGCCACACCAGAACCTGCAAGCTCGGCACCCCAGCTCGCTGGCCCCTTGCTTGCTCACAGCCTGTCTTTCACCGACAGGGCTGCAGACAGAACTCATGAACAGGGCAGCTTGGGTGGGAGAAGCGGGACTGAGCTCCAGCCATCAGCCAGCACCTGCATCCAGGCAGCCTTGGTGGTGGCGTAGGGGGAGATGCTGTCTGGCCTGTGCCTGAGGAGTCCAGGGCCATCATGCTCTGAGAAGGAGCTTCTAGCTGGCCGGGCTGGTCCCTGGCCCACCCCAAGCTCCCCAGGAAGGGCAGTCCTGGCCTCTTACTCCCCTGAACTTGACCTCCTCCCCTTCCAGGCCAGCAGCCCAGGCAGCCTCCGGGCCAGGCTACCAGCTCCTCGCTCTGTGCTGGGTTCCCAACCTTCGGATGGGGTGGGTGCTGGGAGACAGACAGTGGGCTGAGGAGAGCCTGGGCTCTGGGGCCTGTCTGGTATCAGTCCCCCGCAGAGCTGCCCTCCTCCCAAGGTGGGGCCAACCTGAGAGGCTGCCCCAACAGGGTCTGGGCACCGATGGCCCTGCCCAGACACTCTTCCCAAGTCCCGGGGGCCTGGGGGGAATGGCTTGTTCCATGGGGTTCTGAAAGAAAAGCAGAACCATGCCTGAAGAAGGGAAACCTGGCTTCTGGCAGGACCTGCTCGGCCCAGGGCCCGGCCCCCATCAGCAGGGTACCTGATTCACTCTCAGAAGCACTGGGGGGGCTCTGTCACATACAGAAGGCTCTCTCCCCACACCCCCCACCTCCCCTGCAACTTCCACCTGGCAGGGCCCCCAGAACCCACCAATCTCACTGGAGACTGAAGTGACAGAATCCCATGGCAGGGGCTTTGCAACCCCCACGGCCAGTGTGGCTCTCTGGTCCCCACGTCTCAGGCAGGGTGGGGAGAAGGGTCTGGCCTTCCTTCCCAGTGGCCCCTGCAGCC